AAAGAGGGCGTGGTGGCAAGGAGGGGCACAGAGACAAAAGGGGTCAGCCAGGAAGCCCCCCAGCCTGAGAAGGGGCAGAGCTGAGCAGCAGCGCCTGGACACCACCATTAGACCACCAGCCGCTAGAGGGTGGGGACCACACCCCCAACTTCCTCAGCCCATAGTCCCAGGCTCTGGAGACTGGACACCCAGCCATGACCTTGCTGAACTAGGATTGACTTTCTCCTTTTTCCCAACCATTTCCCAAATCATAAACAGCTCTCCCACTTATAGAAAGGGGCAGGGAGGGGACAGCATTCTCCCTGCCCATGGAGGGGCCATCCGAGTGAAGGTAGAAGGGTCTGGTACCAGAGACATAAGCTAATTTTTCTCTTCAAAGGTCACCACTGATGTCCCATTTTCCAACCCCAGCTTCCACTTAGCGCTCACCCTCTTGGGGCAGCTGTTGTTCAATCTTTGCTTCTTTAAACCTTATTGCCTGGGCTTCCAGCCTTTGCACCTTCATGGTTCTCCCTCTACAGCTCTAGTTCTTCTTTCTCTACTTCTGTGTAGTTTACTCTTCTTCCTGAATCCCTTAAGCCAGGTGTCCCCAAAATTCTGCCACTGGCCTCTTCTCCTGGACATCTCCATGGTCTCCCTGGGGACCCTCTCCACTAGTCTCAGCTTTGATGGTCAACTTGCTTGTTGGTGACTCTATAGCCCTGATCACTCCTTCAATTCTAGGCCCTCATTTGCAAGAGTCTGCTGGACAGGTGTAGTTGGAAGCCCTCCACAATCCCCAGGTACAACACATCCATTGTTGGAGAGCTTCCATGAGACTTGGGGGGAGCCAAGCCTGGAGACAGGCTGCCCTGGTGGCCGGGGCTTTGCCTCAGGTCACCAGCACCAGGCCCGCCATCATCCTGCAGGAGGCTGCCTGCCCTCCCTCTAGTCTCTGGTCACTCTGCCTCCTGACTCAGACAGTGACAGGGTCTGAGTCACTGATGTTGGACCTGGAAGGCTGAGGTACCCCACTGGGGAACAGAGTGGTGGGTAAATTCTAAATCCATCTGGAAACCATTCCAGTTCTGCGGAGTGCTCTGTGCTGAGAGCTCACGGGAAGATAAGAGGAGACCTCCCAGGCTGAATGGTGAAGAACGTTACTCTCTCATTCATCCCTGAAATATTAATTGAGTTTCTCCGCTGGGCGAGGGACTGTGTTAGGGGCTCAGGATACAATGGAAAAGACAGACAAGGTCCTGCTCTCGGGGAGCTCAAAGTCTACCAGAGGACTGGGCACCGAGCAGGTGATTAGAAATTGATGAGTGCCCCGAAAGAGAAGCATGGGATGGAGGGGGAGTGAAGGACAGGGGCTGAGACCCAAAGAATTATTAAGAGCTAAGAGGAGAAGTGAGAGACAAGATTGTTCCAGGCAGAGGGCAGAGCCCATGGGGGGCCCAGGGCAAGGTGGGCTCAACACTTTGGAGGACCTGAGAAAAGCTCAGAGTGGCTGTGGAATGCTGAGAAAGTGACCCTTAAAGAGGAGGGAGAGGTGGGCATGGGCCATGTCACACATGACGTGGGGGGCCATGGTCAGGATTTCAGACTCTGGAATTTAAATCAGTGAAAGCCATGAGAAAATGTGCCTTTAAATAAGATATTCGGGACTGCCGTGTAGCAATCACGTCCCAAGGCCCACAGAGGACACTGCAGCGGGTACAAGACGGTGGCAGCCTGCATTAGGGAGATGGCTTTTGCTGGAGCCGAGCACTCAGATTTTAAGGATATTTTGGAGGATTCAGGAGCTAAAGAAGAGCAGAGGAGTCAAGGACAACTTTGCTTTTTTCACTTGTATAACCCCCTGCGTGGTCAAGTTCATTCCATGGGAAGTTTGGTCGTGGATCCCTGAAGTGGAGATGCCTCTGGGGCCTTGAAGAAAGAGATCAAGTCATGCAGGCTTTGCCAGATGCAATAAGGGTGCCCAGTTCAACTTGAATTTCAGATAAACAAAAAATAATTTCTTAGTATAAATCTGTCCTAAACATTACGTGGGCCAGGGTCATATTAAATTTTTTTTCAGTGTTTACCTGAAATTCAAAGTGGACTGGGCATCCTGTATTTCTATTTGCTAAATCTGACAAACGAGCAATTGTGTACCTGGATCTGAAACACAAGACAGAGGTCTAGACCGTGTCAGCATAGAGCAGCAGCATCAGCCATGTAGGGGTGGCTTAGGGTCAATCTAAGGAGGAGACAAAGCCTAGAACAGGGTCTGATTAACTCCAAAGTTTAGGGTTCGGGTAGTGGAGAAAGGAGGAGGAAAAACAGGGGAGCACCACAGAAGCTGACAGTAGTAGAAAGAAGAAATGACCCTCAGCAGAAAAATGAAACACACAAGGCCTAAAAGCATTCATGGGAAGGATGGAGGAGTCATTAGTGGTCTTGGTGACAGCAGTTTATTTATGTTTTGTGATGGTGGAAAACACATCACAGTGAGTTGAGGACTAAACGGGAGGGCTTGAGATGTTTTCCCACGAAGGAGAAGGTAGGAGCTGGAAGAAGAGGTGGGCTCAGAGGCGGGCTTGATTTAGTATTAGAGACCTGAACTTGTTTAAACGTTGATGGGAAGCCATGAACAGAGAGAGAGAAGTTGAAGATGAAGGAAGAGGAAACATGCAAGGTCCCTGAGATGGCGCTAGGGCTAGGATCCAGAACATAAGTGGCAAGATTAGATAGAAGGATATACATCTTCCATCAAGCCAGGAGGCAAAGTGGAAAGGAAGGCTCCAGGCGGGTTGGTGGGAGGATGGCAGTATGGTGAATGACTTCCGGCCTCCAGGTTCCTATTTCACCTTTGAAGGGGGTGGTGATACCATCTGCCGAGAATTAAAACGCAAGTAAAATAAGTTGGAGTTTTGAGAACAGGGTGTAAGTTTTAAAAAGTGGGGCTTCCCTCGTGGCGCAGTGGTTGAGAGTCCGCCTGCCGATGCAGGGGACGCGGGTTCGTGCCCCGGTCCGGGAAGACCCCACATGCCGCGGAGCGGCTGGGCC